TAAAATTTAGGTATTAACTCTATCGTAAATTAAAAAGTAATATACGACAATTGCTTTAATATTATTTGGAAAATATTTTTTTTAATTTTGGATTTTTCTCAGTGCTGGATTGTTATTGGTAACCCTATTTGGGACCAGCAAAACTTGCAAGACCTCCAGACATCCTGAGGAGTCTGAGCCTTTGGAATGAGAATAACCCTACCCCGAATCCATTCACCTTGCTGACTGCTCATAAAAATCTCAAGAATTTTATGGGAAAGGCAATAAATTGGAGCATAGCTCACACAACGTTACTTCCGCTATTTATAGCCGTTTACAGCAACAGTTTCCATATGCTGGCACCCCGATCACCCAATATCACAAGGAGTTGACTCCAATATCCCTTACAAAATCCGCTTATTTATTGAAATATTCGCTTTATTTCGCGCAGCTTCTGGAAAAGTTTTAAGCCATTTCGATTGTGTCCTTGAGGGCCTCTTACATTGTTTCCTTTCGGGCGGCAGGGCAAGGCAAGGCCAAGTCCTTGACCCCCGGGGGCGGTGGAATATCCCCATTTGGATGCAGGCACATCCAGACAAATTGTCGTAAAAATCAGCCGTAATCGTCAACATCAACCCAGTCGATTGGGCACCTAAGCTCAGGCAGCTCCCCTCCACAAAAATTGCACTCACTTGGCCTAATAGAGAAATCGCCGTAAATTCTGGTGCCCCTCATTGTGCCAATGGCACGTCTGATTTAGCCCGTTAGTTTTTTCTGTGGCTAGGGGAAAATCACGTCTCTGTTTTTGGCCAGATCACATATGTACAACCAAGTTAGACTTTGGGATTAAACTTTTTAAACTATAAGTAGTACGAGTGGCTTTCTCATTTGCCATCGGGCCATAATGGGGAATAAGGGGAAGACCATCTAATGGGTTCCTGTTATCTATTGCTGTTTTTCTTGCACGTTCTAAGGTGAAATGCGATGCTTTACCGAATCTACAATTTACTCTTTGCTTAAAATAAACGAAAGAAAAATGTGTACTTAAAAAAATAGGACTTGCAGTTGTATTTAAATAGTAAACTTTCGTTCGAAATTATTCATTCGTGATTAAAGTATTGGAAAAGCTTCATAAAAAAATTCGAATACAACAAAACTAGATATCGCTACTAAATATAGTAGACATTTAATTAATAATTAACCTTTATAAAGTAAACATTGAAACCGAACATAATAAAATTTATTTTATATTGCTTAGGCATTATAACAATTGTTTTCACACATTTAACGTTAAGATGGCCTAATCCACCATAAGGGCAACTCCCCTAAGTCACTAAAACCATTAGGCAGAGTCATTTAAAATCGAATTACGCTTCGGACACTCTTAAAACTCTCAGGCCAGTGCTAGTTTTCACTTTGCTGTCAAGTGTAATTGAAATGGGGCGCCGTTCGCGACACGAATTCAATTGGAAAGGTAAACAAATCAGAAAACGGCAACAACGCTACATTAGCGCAGCCCCATCGCCAAAAGCTGTCCAAATGGCATGAAACTATGTCGACGGCTTGGTTCCTGTCGATGATGCCGTTCCTCCTGGCTCCTGGTGGCTCCAAGCAGGATTCGAGTCCTGCGAGTGGAGCTGCGGCCGAGTCCTGCCGGAAGCCAAACGCAAAACATTTCTAATTTCAGCGCTGATGTTGATGAATGGCGATGGACAAGAGCAGGTGGCAACGGCAGCGGAAGCGGGCCAAACGCGACAACAAGCCACCGACGTGTCCCCAACCCCAATGGCCACCCACCCAACGACCCACCCACAAAAACACCCACCCAAATGGATGGGAACTCGGAAGCTACTGCGGTGGGTGGCCAAATGTCAATTGTCGGGGGGAAAGTCCCGCCCCTTGGGATTGGGACTTCGAGTGGGAATGGCCCCGAGAACTGGACAGTGGATATGCCGAATGGGAAAGACCATTTGTCCAGGAGGCCTCGCGGTGACATGTCGCAGGAACTTTAGCTTAAGGAGGGCACTGGAAAAAATAAGCAATCTGAAATCTATGATATCCTATATATTACAAAACAGAATATCTATATTTTTTGATTTCCCAATATTCATTTTTCTATCTGAGGCATCAATCCTTATCAAAATGAACCATCAAACCTGTTACTAGAAAAGTATTTTGGCTTGTACCTATTTTAAATTGGACCAATTAATAAATATCACAAGAATTTGTGCGCGGTTCAATGTCCTCAATGTCAAAAAAAGGTCGAATGCACACAAAAAAAATTCTTATAATCTTACTTAATTTAAAAATTAAGTACTTAGCAATGAATTTTATATGATATGTATAAAAAGTAAGATATCCTTAAAAGGGAATCAATCATTTTGGCTTTTTTCTTATTAAGCTGAAATACAGGAATTGTTACAACTTATTTTTCAATGTTTAAAATATAGTACTCCCCCAGATTTCTTACCGTGCTTGCCTGGCAGGGGATGCTGGTCGGATGTCTTGAAATGTTCGCATGGCTTTGGCACGCATTGTTGGTGGCTATGTTATGGATTTTGATTCGGACTGGAGCCGGGATTCGGATACGGATTGGGGTTCGCTGGGGGCGGCGCGTGTTCCGCCTTTGTGTCCTTCGGCCTCCTACGGATACTCGCACTCGTTTCGCAGATAGATGCGAGTTTGTCGGCAGCAATTACCGTTGATCTGGAGTGTTTTTTATCGTCACGGCTGTTATGACAACGGTTGGCACGTATTCCCACGTCCAACTCATCGCATTCAATTTGCTTGATTTCATTTCCGTTTCGCCTTGGCTCGGCCTTCGTGGGACCTCCTTTTTCTGGGGGTTCCGAGGAGGTTGGGAAGTCCCAAAACTGGTCATTCGATGGTCGGGCCAAACTATTTCCATTTTGATTGGGCGCCCTGCTGCCAGCGGACTTTGATTTCTCTCGATGCCGCTGCAATTGCAGCTTAAGTGTGCAATTTGATTTGATTTTTGCCCATTTTTTGACAGGTCCTCGAGGTCCTTGAGGCCCGCTGCACGGCCCGGCTTCCCTGCCCGAAAATGTAGCACCAAATTGACATTTTGTTTAATATTCTCGAGTGTGTTTTGCGCTGTGTTTTCTGCCCGCCGGGGCAGCTCGATGTCGTTGCAGGCAGGATGTGTGTGGTGGTGCCGATTGCGATTGTGTTTGTGTTTGTGCAGGGGCAGGATATGAATTGCCGGGCGATTGGCGGAGAATTGCACTGGAAGTGGGCCACGTGGCTGATCGGGCCCTCTCCTGGCACCGTTTAAGGATAAGTGCTGGCGAAAAAGGCATGTTATCGTGTTAAATACGGTGCATGCCATGGCATTAACATTACCTCAATGTTTGTGCACAATTTGAGCATATCAATCATGTTAAGCCCAATAATGGCATTTGAATGGAGGTGCTTTGGGTGGCTGGTTATGATATAAAGAGGTCTAAATGGCCTAGTCTGCGTCTTTGGCCTACTAAAATTATAAAAAATATCTACCTACTCGAGTTCGTTTTGGAACTATGCTAAATTAATGAACTTGAAGTCATGACATTTAATCTGAGGTATAAACCCATCAGATCGAGAACGTGTAAATGGAAAGAAACACTAAGAGAACTGACAACTGAATTCCATTGGCAGCTACCCCAAATCCTCAACTATTTCGTTTCATTTAATTTGATTTATTTGCTGTGTTTTTATTCTGTTTTGCTCTTGCCTGTATGTTGGCTCACTCCATTTTTGGCTAAAAGGAATGCAGCTTAGTGGCCATCCACTTTCGGAAGCAGACTTTCTTTGAGCTCATAATGAAAACACAAATCCAAATTCAGTCCTTGAAGCGCCACGTCCTTGAGCCATAAAGCCTACTCTGAATAGAGCGGGAAAAAGTGCGAAAATAATTCCCAGCCAGAAGATTAAAGCCATAAATTTGGATTGGGGTAGGAGAAAGATTATAGGGGTAAGAAAACAGAACATATAAATGAGAGTAGTGAGGGTTAATTTAATAAAAGTTAAATTTAATTACTATTTAAAAGAGGCAAAGAGTATAAGCTAGGATAAAATAAATAAATGGTGGTAATTTAGAACACAAATAATAACATAAGTTGTTTAAGAAATTAAATCTCAATAATTCAATGTTATTACTACGATTTTCTCAAAGTTTAAACCTTTATTGTTACGAAAACGTAAAAATACGGTTGCTATGCGTTGTTGGTATGGTGACTTTCCGTTTCGTATCAACACCAAGTAAATTAACCTTAAATTGCACGCAAACTTGCCTCCCCAGCGGGGAACTTTCAGTGCTTTCTTTGTGGGTTTTCTTCGAAATTATTGGGGGTAAAATCAATGCTATCAGGCCGACTCCCACAGACACAGCCACATATTCACAGCTGACTTTTGGGCCGCTTAATATCATCACGCATACGCCAAGTATGCACACACGAACAGAGCCGCCTGCTCTGCAATCTTTTGAAAAGGTTTTCGGTTAAAATATTTTACATATTTTTAACGCACAAAGTATGTTGAATGCTGAGCCTGGAGGCTGGGGCTTCTTCAAGGATGCTTTATAGTGGGTGGATGGGAAGGTGGATAGTCGGTGGTGAGACAGCCGCCCTTTGGATAAATCGCGAGAAATTGGCAGTGGGGTTGTGTGCCTGATAGTTGATAATTTCATTATGGTTCCCTTAAGTTTATTGATTTTGTATTTCATGAAATATACACAAGACTTAAGACTTTTGGTATATGGTGAAGTTCGGATGAGTATTTGCACTTTAAACACTATTAATTATTCATATCATATAATTTTACTGCCGAGTTTTGCACAGCCTAACAGTTTTGATATTTAAACCAATTATAAATGTGAGCATATGGGAGCTGGAACCGAAATCTGTCTTCTGAGCAGTGGAATTAAATTCGTTTGGAAAATCCTTTATAAAGATACATACCTTATGTATGGAAACTGGTTTATGGGCCTAGATTTTAAGCATGCCTTTAATTTAACAGCAACTCAAAGCTAACTACACACGTGTTCCGATCCCGATTAACATATTTCTTTTTGGTTTTGATTTTGCAATGGCATCCGTGCGTCCATCTCTTTTTTTTGAGGATGAAGAAAAGAAGGAGAAGAAGTTTGAAAGAGCGTTTTCCACTCGCTATACTACGACCATGGGGATTGCATTTGGGAGGCAAACTACCAAATTCGATATTCCGATTCACGACAATCGAACCCTTTTGGACCGCAATGTAAAACGTCACGGTGACGACAAGAAGTATATAGGAGAATTTGATGACACAAACGATGCACGATTTTTCACCTACAAACCGTTGTACGACGATCGTGATGTCCGTCCCAAAGACCCCAGCTTTTCTAAATTTAAGGTTCCCACGTAAGGATTAATTTGCTTATATTATGATGTATCATAACTATGGAGAAACCCTTAGTGAAGTAAGCTGTAAGGAACGAATGAAAAGGGATACTATCAGGTATAATCGTCAGCTCAATAATGAAATCTCAAAGCTAATCGATTACCAAAGCACCGCCTTGGAAGCAGCATATTTTGTCAAGTATTATTCCCGTACTAAAAATTACTTTTGACTTAAATGTACTTTTGCAGAATGATGTCGTACACAACCCTGTGGCCACCTTATCATAGTAATCTGGAAATAGCCAATACAAGTCGCAATTTTTATAGGCTGTCGAAAAGAGAACAGAACCGCTATGACTTTATAATGTCACATGATTTTTGCTAAGAACCGCGATCATCGTACTTGATAGAATAATTTTATACTCCATCTATAATTTTATGTTCTATCAGGTATGATAATGTGGATATACACTATCGAAACTATACCAATATATTAATTTTAAAAGTATAAATTATTTATTGCCTTAATATGCGTAAGCACTCCGAAGATAAAACATAAAACAAATTTCACAGGCAAAGATTTGCAACCTGAGTCATTTATTGCAATGCAAAATGTCGCAAAGTTCGCCCAGACTCAAAAGAAAACAGAATATTTTTGCAATTTTAATTTATAGAATAGTTGGTAGTTTATTTTTCACTGTCAAGAAGCAAGGAGCAGGCCAAAACAGAAACATAAATTGGGGGACAGAAATATTCCGAGTGTTCTTGGGTACATTCGATCTGCATAAACAGTTCCCGTTTCCCGGCGACTCATTTACATTGCAAGTATTGGGCACTCTTTTTGGGGTGTTATGCTAACTAAGAGGAAGTTTGTGGACAGGGAGTCGCAGCTCCCGGTTTCCCAATCCGAGTCCGGATCCGTTTCCGGATCTCCCGTGTCCGAGGCTTCATCAACGCAGCCGCACTGTGGTCGGTCTGTCATTTACATTAAATATTAACCCAAAATGCTGATAACCCGCACACATTACAAAACCTGAAGAGAAGGGAAGCGGAACTAACGGAAGTGGCTACGAAAAAATACAAAATGAATTCTTTTTTGGCCGGGTTTACTTTTTAAAAAAGCGATGGGAGACGGGCGAAGAAACCCCCAAATTTTTCACTTCACTGAATTATTCATGAATGCAATTTTTGGCCACAAATAAAATATAAGCAAACTCAGACGACTGGAGGCGGTGGGCAGGGTGTCGGAGTGGGAGTGGCAGGGGGCGTGGCACCGCGGAAATGCAGCTGCGCCCTGTTGTGCTCCTGTCGACTCAGACGTCGTTGCAATATTTAGTGTAAATTAAAAAAGCATATAATAAGAGAATAAGCAGTAGCGCCTGAAATTTCGCGTGAGTTATGAGTCCTGTTGTCACAAATATTCCCGGGCTCTGTTGTGTTTAATTTAGCGGAAAACTATACTTTTTCACATTTTCAAGGGGGAACTATTTTGCCCAGCGAGTCATATGTATTATTTCTTGAATTAGTACTATTTTTTAAAATACTGTAAGTAAATACACTGTAGGGACACTAAACATACCAGTTCTTCACAGAGAATATATCAATTGCATGACGTAAAGTATTTTTCCATGGTAACTTTAGTTTGGCAACTTTCGCATCGAGCACTTAGATGGGACTTGCCAAACTTTTCGATTTTGCGGTAACTTAAAAATTTGAATTTCAAATCGCTCTGCCCAATGAAACCAACTTGTACTCCCTGGAACAAGCTGACAAATGACTCCACTGCAGGAAATGCACCGTGAATGACTTTTGGAGGCAAAACTTTTGCAGGTGTTAAATACATCTGCATTGGCAGCACCGCGAAAACAGAGAAATCATGCACAGCATAAGTACGTTAAGTTCTGTGGCATCAAACAACCGAGAAGAGCCATTAAAATAATCGCTGCAATAACCGCATTTGGTGCGATTTGGTTGCCTTTGTCATTCACCTTTTCGGTTGCGGAAGGAGGGCCAAATGGGGAAATTTGCATGCATAAGTTATGCCAAGTTTGGCTGTGGGACGAGCAGCAAACGTAACATATTGACACAGTAAACTGCTTAGATTGTCAAAGTTCGAGGGGAGCTTTGGTCCCCCTTCCCACAGTTCACCCCCCTTGCACATTTAAGGTGCATTCAAGTTTTTGAGAGTGCGCGCAAACAGTTGGCCAAATCCTAAAGGGATTGCGTTGCATATTTCTGTTTCTGGCCCGGCTGTTTCCGCGTGTGTTTGTGTGCCAAGCATATGCACTGAAGTCCTGGCCAAGTCGGCAGCACATGTGAGAGAGTGGGTCCTGAGGAGCTGTATCGCTGGCAAGAAAGTCCTTTCAGTTCCTTTACTTCTGTACGATTTTGCTCTCAGGTTTGTTTTTACTTTCATGCCACACCAAACGGGAGATGGGTGCTTTGGGTAAAGTCGGAGAGAGTGGCACAATTTCTCTGGCCAAAGCGACATTCTTCCTACCAATTTGAGGTTGTTCGGTTTTCGCAACCTCAAGAGAGGAGCGACGCATGCTCAGAAGTGATTGAGAGAAAGTCTTTGAGAGGCCTTAGAGAAATAGTGGGACTTTCTCTTTTAGGATGTGGTATCATATCTCTGATTTCAAAAGGGGAAATACTGGTTAATGGAGTCCAGGATGTATTAAAGTATTGTTTGAGACAAAATTCTTTGTTGGTTAAACCACAACCTGTCTTAGGAAAAACTTACAAACATTCATTATTATAAAAGTTTACAAAGTAATATTGTTATCATCAAGTTATTATCATGCAGCATACAACTAACCAGAAAACAAAACTTAAAAACCTCTAGACTCCGAGCATAATATAAATATAATTATGCATGCTTCAGATACACTTCACTTCACTTCAGATACTTTCCAGGACTTTATTTTTATTTAATATTATTCTAAATTCATAGACATGTGCTAAAAGCGGAAGAAAACCCCTCAACCCCTCACCAAATTTCAGTTTATCTAAAATTCGAGCTATATTTCCCTATATACTTTTTCCTAACCCCCCGAAAAGTCGGGGAATTTTCAACGAGAGACACAGCGGTCGAATCGTAACAAGTGCCGTGCCCCAAAAACATCCCCTCGACCAGCCGCAAGTGAGAGCCCTCAGCTGGACTCTCTTGGCGTAGGTCGTAAACAGCTGCAGCTGATGCGGTCGCCAGGATGATGGTCCTTCGGCTGCAGCAGCAGCAACAGCGGCGAGTCCTGCAGCGGAGCATCGGAGCGGCAGGGCTGTCCAGTTTAACGAGCGCCCTGACCAACTGCAGCTTATGTGCTCAGGTTACTTCGCCACACATCCCCACACACCGAAGTACCACTGTGGATGTGGGGGCGAAGATTTATATTTTGTCACACTTACTTGAAACGACTTTGGCTGCCACTTGTTCTGCGGTCTATTGCAGGTGGCCGAGGAGGAGGGCTATCCTGGATTTCCTTCATTGGTTCCATCGCCCTGCCATCATCATCGTCAAGTATATCGTACTGCTCGCCGTCGAGGGACTGTAGTCAGCAGCATTTACTTGCCGGCATTAATTTTCTTGCCATTACAACTCTGGTATGGCAACGTGATGCTGGGCTGCCGATGTGAATAATATGTGGATTTCGAATTCACTACTGATAAATTATTTACGTGTACCTTTCTTTTTAAACATATATTGTTTATTACTTAATAAAATATTATTTTACAATGCTAGAACCGTTGAATTCCAAGATAAAGATATTTAAAAGGTGCTAAGGAAAAAACATTTCAAGATCTTTGGAAATTTTATATCTCTCTATTTGTTTAAATACCACATAAAAGTTTTATCAAAGTATTTTTATTACGAATTGCAAAAGGTAATTATTCCAGAAAGTAAAATAGAACAACATTTCCTACACAGAAAAAAAAAATACCAAAACTGGTTATCAATCGGGTATTTTTTCATATCAATTTTGATCCCTTATGTTGCCATATCATATTCATATTTTCGAACATATGACATTGATATTTTCGAACATGTCAATTTGGTATTTTTCATACCAGATTGATATGAGCACATATCAAAGTTGTGACCAAATTGTGGTATTTTTTAATATCCAACTGATATGCTTTCATATCAAACTGATATGCTTTCACATCAAACTGATATGCTTTCATATCAAACTGATATTTTTTTTGTATCAATTTGACATTTCTTTTATTTTAACATGTTATGTTTTTCCATATCAAATTTATACTTTTTCATAAGAAACTAATATTTTATCATATAAATTTGTACTTTTAATCATTTTAACACGTTATGTTTTTATATATTAAACTGGTATTCTTTCATATCAAACTGATATTTTGTCAAATCAATTCGACACTTACCTCATACCCAGAGAAACAAATTTGTAGTTTTATTTTTAAAACTTATTTTCTAGATTAACGTATAGAACCACAAAAGTAAATTATATAAACACTGATTAAAGTTAAAATTATTTAAGCTAGAAACCATTAGTTAGAACTAATAATGTCACCTTTTCTTTATATGTTGGTGTCGTATCCCCTGCGCAGACATCAATGTGCTAAAACTTGAAATTATTACAACCTATTATGAAAATATTAAAAGTTAAACTTACTTGCGCTCGCTTCCATTTTTGGAGCTTCTCGCGGAACTCGAATTTCAGACCAAGATGTTCTCTCTTGGAAAATATTAAAAGTGGATCCTCCATGGTACTTCGACAAACTAATGCACAAATAAAGTAATTTAGTTAAAATTATACATACTTACCAAGTAATTACATTTATAAACACCTTAAACTTTTCTTTTGTCTCGTTTTACACTAAAATTGACGCAGTAAATAAAAGTGGGACCACCGCATACAAAGCGTAATTATACCGTTGTACACAGAATATACACAAAAAGGACGAATTTACAGTCATACAATTTTTTCGAAGACTTTTCGATGTTACGTTTGATATGAAATCTTATCAACTTGCTAAGTATTCATATCATTATGATACGGATTCATATTAACATTTAAAGTTGATATGATTTCGTATCATATTGATATGAATTCGAATCATTTTGATATGAAAAAATTGATATGTGAAAATTGAGGAGACAATATCAAACGGGTATTGTTCCGTTTTTTTCTCTGTGTAGCTTCAAACAAAAGTTTGCAGCATAAGCCAATCCGTTTCCATAATAATTTATATTTCTCACATGAAGTCTCAAAATGTATTATATTGCATTTATTAACTTTTAATTTCCTTTCCTAAAAATTAATTTATTGAAGTCCCATCGTTACTAAATTTCAATGGTGAAACAATTCTAAGGGATTTAGTTTTCACGAGGGAACGACCTTATGGCTAGTAAGAACAGACAGTTTATTACAGGACTCTGGAAATGCAATAAAAAGTTCTGCTAGTATCGTTTTACTTCCCTTTTGTAAAAGTACTCT